TCTGTGATTCCTGGAAGCCGTGTCAGTGCTGACACCGTGGCTCAGGTTCACAGCCAGCTGGTCTCAAACTCCTCCGTCTCTGCTGCTTGTAGTGATGGAGCTGTGAGGGAACCACAGCTGCCCTGTCCGTGGTTCTCTGCCTGGAGTGGGGAATTCACACTTAGGAGCTGCAGAGACAGACTCCAGCCTGTTTTGCTCAGTGAATCCTGGGCTAAAACTCTTAAACAGCCTTTTCTGCAGCTCCTCCTTGGCCAGGCTGTGGTTTCCCTGCCCGTTTCTAAAGCTTTGGTAGAAATCCATGGAGATTTTGCTAAACTAATCTCTCCTGCCTTGTCCACCTGTCCCCAGTGTTTAACACGGTTTATAACAGCGATGACAACGTGTTTGTGGGTGCCCCCACGGGAAGTGGAAAGACCATTTGTGCTGAATTTGCCATCCTGAGGATGTTGCTCCAGAACTCGGAGGGACGCTGCGTGTACATCACCCCCATGGAGGCCCTGGCAGAGCAGGTGAGCTCTGTGGAGAACTGAAGCCTTTCCCGGGTTCACATTTCCCTCCTCATCCCCCGTGTCACTTTTCCTTGTCCCTTCTTTGCTGTCACATCCCCTCAGGATGACTCCAGAGTCTTTTGATTAATTGTGGTTTCTCTGAGGGAGCAAAGAGACACTGTCCCACTGCTGACCTGGGACATGGAGGATGTGGGGATATGGGGACGTGGGGACATGTGACATAGGGATGCAGAGAGATGAGGGACACCATGGGGATGTGGGACATGGGACATAGGGATGTGGGGACATGCGACATAGGGATGCAGGGACATGGGGGACACCATGGGGACATGGGATGTGGGGATGTGGGGACATGTGACATAGGGATGTAGGGACATGGGGGACACCATGGGGATGTGGGATATGGGATGTGGGGATATGTGACATAGGGATGCAGAGAGATGAGGGACACCATGGGGATGTGGGACATGGGACATAGGGATGTGGGGACATGCGACATAGGGATGCAGGGACATGGGGGACACCATGGGGACATGGGAACCTGGGGACTTGGGATGTGGGGACATGGAGATCATGGGAATATGGGATGTGGGGACATGGCACATAGGCATGCAGAGAGATGGGGACACCACAGGGACATGGGACACAGGATATGGGATGTGGGGACATGTGACATAGGGATGTAGGGACGTGGGGGACACCATGGGGATGTGGGAACCTGGGGACATTGAGGATGTGGGGACATAGAGGATGTGGGGACATGGGATGTGGGGACATGGGACGACATAGGGCAGAGAGATGGGGACACCATAGGGACGTGGGACATGTGACATGGGGATTCAGGGAGATGGGGGACACCGTGGGGACGTGAGAACCTGGGCACTTGGGATGTGGGGACATGGGATGTGGGGACATGGGACATAGGCATGCAGGAATGTGAGGGACACCATGGGGACTTAGGGACATGGAGGACATGAGGACATTGAGATGTGAGGACATGGGGATGCGAGGACATGATGCTATGGGGGGCACCACGGGGATGTAGGGACATGGAGCACGTAGGGAGATGGGACTTGGAATAAATCCTCTGAATTCCCTGGAGACACACACATGCACACGGCACCGTCAGCAGGATGGGACCTTGCAGGACAACAACACCCCTTGTTTCTGGCAGGTCTTCTTGGACTGGTATGAAAAATTCCAGGAGCGTCTCAATAAGAAGGTGGTTCTGCTGACGGGGGAAACCAGCACCGACCTGAAGCTGCTGGGCAAAGGGAACATCATCATCAGCACCCCTGAGAAATGGGACATCCTCTCTCGACGCTGGAAGCAGCGCAAGAACGTCCAGAACGTCAACCTCTTCATCGTCGATGAAGTGCATCTCATCGGGGGCGAAAATGGGGTGCGTCTGGGAGGGGAGGAGGGTGCTCCTCGTTTGAGTGGTGCTCCTCATGGTGTTGGCCTCAGTAGTGGAGCTGCTGTGGGATGGATGGTTGCTCACTCCTAATATCTGAGGTCAGGTTTTCCCCAAGCTACAGGATGGGCTGAGATAGGAGGGACGTATCCTTTGGGAAGTGCAGGAGCGATATCTCCTGGGGTTTCCATGGGTGCTTGTGCTGAAGTGGCTGGAGCTCAGCCAGGAGAGGTGGCCATGGCGTGGGGAGCTCAGTGTTCCCCTCCTGTTCCTGCTCCAACCTGCTCCCTCTTGCTTGCAGCCAGTGCTGGAGGTCATCTGCTCCCGCATGCGCTACATCTCCTCCCAAATCGAGCGTCCCATCCGCATCGTGGCCCTGAGCTCCTCCCTGTCCAACGCCAAGGACGTGGCTCACTGGCTGGGCTGCAGTGCCACCTCCACCTTCAACTTCCACCCCAACGTCCGTCCCGTCCCCCTGGAGCTGCACATTCAGGTAGGGTTGGGCCAACCTCATCTCCTTCCCCTTCTGTCTGGTTTCTGGATGGTGTCACCACCTTGTTCCTCTTCCCCTTTCAGGGCTTCAACATCAGCCACACGCAGACTCGCCTGCTCTCCATGGCCAAACCTGTCTACCACGCCATCATGAAGCACTCGCCCAAGAAACCCGTCATCGTTTTCGTCCCGTCCCGCAAGCAGACGCGGCTCACGGCCATCAACATCCTCACCACGTGTGCTTCTGATGTCCAGAGGCAAAGGTAACGGTGCTGTGGCCCCTGTCCTTCCTCTGACAGCAGCGAGGGTGAGTTGCCCAAGGAAGTTGTGGCTGCTCCTCCCTGGAAGTGTTCAAGGCCAGGCTGGATGAGGCTTTGAGCAACCTGGTCTAGTGGAAGGTGTCCCTGCTGCTGGCAGGGGGGGTGGGACTGGGTGAGCTTTAAGGGCCCTTCCAACCCAAACCAGTCTGGGATTCTATGATTTTGGGTTGTTTCGCTGGGATGAGGGACAGCTGGTGATAGGAAATGGTCTGATGAGATGTCACTCAAGCTGTGACATCAAGGACAGGCTTGGGGGACCTGGCAGTGATCTCTTTACTCCCCCCTCACTCCGGCAGGTTCCTGCACTGTGCAGAGAAGGATCTGGTGCCGTACCTGGACAAGCTGAACGACAACACTCTGAAGGAGACGCTGGTGAATGGAGTGGGCTACCTGCACGAGGGGCTGACCGCCATGGAACGGCGCGTGGTGGAGCAGCTCTTCAGCTCTGGTGAGTGGAGCGGGATGGGGGACACTCCGCTTCTACCCGGAAACCCTTTACCTTGGAGTTTGGTGGTGTCCAGAGTCTTTGGACTGGAGATAGCTCAAGAGCTTGCCCAAGCTTTGTGTCACTTCTCTGCTTCCCTGGTCCAAAAAATGTTGTGATCTTAAACTTCACCATCTCTCCTGGACCTCCCTGTACGCCAAGAACCCCCAGATCTTTCTCCTCCCAATTTCTGTCACCCCAAGAGGTGCTCTGCTCACGGGTTGACTCCTCTTCCCCCCCTTGCACCTTTCAGGAGCAGTTCAGGTGATGGTGGCCTCCCGCAGCCTCTGCTGGGGTATGAACATCGCCGCTCACCTGGTGATCATCATGGACACTCAGTACTACAACGGCAAGATCCACGCGTGAGTGTGTTGTGCTGCGGGCGAGACCAACCGTGGCTTCCTTCAGTGTCTGCTCTGCCAGCTCAGGCTTTGCTGAGCACGAGGGAACGAGGCCCTGATCTCAAAGAGCTTCACCCCTGTCCAGGCAGAGGCTGGGAATGGTGGGAGAACGTTGGTCACTTGCTGTGAAGCTTCGTTAACTCTCTCTCCGTGTCCCAGGTACGTGGATTACCCCATCTACGACGTGCTGCAGATGGTGGGCCACGCCAATCGCCCGCTGCAGGACGACGAGGGCCGGTGTGTCATCATGTGCCAAGGATCCAAGAAGGTGGGTGAGGAGCATTTCTGACTTGTGAATGTCTTATCTCCTGCCTGGGGTGTGGATTTCTTATCCCAGTGTGATAGTTAACCCTATCCTAACAAAAACCAGGACACCCAGCTTTTGGGCAGGCTGATGTGTAACCCTCACTCAGATCCCTGCTGCCTGGGAGCTGCTCCAGGATTTTGGAGGTCCTGGGGTTTATTGAGCCTCTATTCCTGCCTCGCTGTAGGATTTCTTCAAGAAGTTCCTGTACGAGCCCCTGCCTGTGGAGTCACACTTGGATCACTGCATGCACGATCACTTCAACGCTGAAATCGTCACCAAGACCATCGAAAACAAGCAGGACGCGGTGGATTATCTCACGTGGACGTTCCTGTATCGCCGGATGACACAGAACCCAAACTACTACAACCTGCAAGGTGAGTGGAGAGTTCTGCACTGGGGGATACAGGGTTGTCCTGGTGTGTAGCTGGGATAAACTGGGTTCTTCTCAGCAGCTGGAGCAGCGCTGGG